CACACACACACACATAGGTGAATGAGAGGACCCAGCAGGTGACTCAAGAGGAGTGGTGTGAGGACAGGAGACAAGGCTTGCCTCCCAGAAGTGAACAGGCTGCTGTACGTTCAATGCCAAGCCAGGAGGGCTGCCCCTGGGGCACACTGGGTGCTCCCATCAGAGGCCCAGGAGACTGTCCAAAGTACCAGGAAATCCAACAATCTCTGTGTGAGATATTAAACTGTCCAGGAATAGTTTTCAGCATTGGTGCCAATCCATGAGATTTCGAGTTGCATAAGATATCTAACTAGCATTTTTACAATACCCTAATAGTTATTTGCAGTTGCCAATCAAAAATTCACCTAGGTCTCCTACATGTTACTTTGATTAGCTACAAATATAATCTAGATGAAAAGGACTTTCTTCTTTAATAGGGCCTTCTAGCAGTGAGTGCATGTGGTATTGTATTTGTTCTTCTTGCTAAGATACATGACTATTCTACTTAATTTAATTCAGTAAGTATTTACTCAGTTTCTGCAATATACTTTAGCATCATACTAGGTGCTACTGGTATTTTAAAAGAAGAATATGGAAAGCTCACTTTAAAAAAAAAGGTAATTTACAATTTAATTATAAGACAACACTTAATTGTTTAAAATACGAAGCTCTCAAAGGCATAAAACCACTAGGAATGAAATTTAAATGCTGTTATGTTCGATGAAGACAGCCATAGCTAAGGAGAAAGACCATGAGCAGCCAGAGTGGTCACAAGAGGATGAGGGGGACTTAAGCAATGACCTGAAGGGTAGGCTTCAATGGGTGGGGAATGATTTTCAGAGTTTTCCAGGCAGGATAACAGATAGTAGGTCATAGAGAGAAATTACATGTAAGTGTGTATGCATGGAAACTTCAGGATGAGGGAGACTGAAAAGAATGTCTGCTTCTAAGCTTTGGTGCCTGCTTAGAAAGCCCATATCACTAACACAAATGCAAATATTGAAGGCAAGGGAAGATGAGCGATATGGTTTTACACGTCTTGTGTTTAAGCAATCAGCAGGGTGTTTCTGTGGAAATGCCCATTAGATAAGGGGGATGATGAAGGTGATAATAGAGATACCCAGATTTGAGCAATTTTTGAATGAAGATAATGGAAACAAGAGAATGGATGGGATCTCTCAAAGCAAAAGGGGGGAAAATAGGACAAAAAAATGCATGCCAGAAAAGTGCTCATAGCAAAACAAACAAACAAAAAACACAAAGACATGGAAGGGAGACACTAAAATCAATAAGGTGGTATGAGAACCGGAATATTGTTTTGAAGCCTAAGAGAAACGTGGAAAGGCCAAACGATTTAGCCAGAGAGATCCCAAGTTCTGATAAAGAACAACACTAATGACATCGACATATTTTACTTATTTTTTTTCACAGTTTTTTGCTATTTTCCTGGATAGTAAATGGAAAGTTTTTTTAATGCAATTTGTCACTAGAGGGTGCTGGAGTTATTTAGGAAAGAAAATGCTGGCTACTATGAATAAAAGACCTTTTTTTTCCCCTTATGATGTATCTGCTATAAAATATAATCATTACATTTTTAATGTAACAGCTTTGAAAAGCTCTTTTAGTAATTAGACATGTATTTATGTTCAACAAGACTTTTTGAGTTAAAGTAACGCTGAGACATAGCTGCTGTGCTTTTATTGCAGGGACAAAAAGAAAGCAGCAGAACATTATCGCTTCCAGACATCTGTTCTCACAGAATGATGCCGAGCGTGATACGGGGATTACACACCTTTAGATCACATCAATTTCATAAGAGTCTTTGTTGACATTTTCATTGAATATTAATTAAGTGTTATTTCATTCAGTTCAGTTATAATGTTGTACAGTGGTTTAATTCTAAGAGAAGAAATTCACTCTAATTTTCATTCATGAATTGTATCATTTTTGAACATGATATCAGCTAGATGAACATTCTGATTATCAAAAGCTCATGATTTTACATCTGTATGTTCAATCACTGAATCACCCCCCTGAGGCCTGGGGGCGGGGGGAGCTAGTGGGCACTAGAAGTTCATGTTACCTTTTGTGCTATATCTAGTAAGTACTAAAGTGCTTTGTCTCTAAGAGTTTTGTATCTTTTGCCAGAATTTATGAAACTGTGGTGGGCTAATTTGTTAGCTTGACAATAGGGTAAAATTTCAGAACTTTCTCAGTTCTTAACAGTAGTAGCTTAGCAGAGCTTCCCTAGTGGGTCTTCTCTGTGATATTCTCAGAATCTTTTCTGAAGGCCCACACTAATACCCACCTCTATCCTTTTAGCAACATTATAAACACCTAATTCCCTGTTTTAATTTCCTTTCTGCTAAAAATACTAGAATGGTTATGCCCTGGTTGTGTGGTCAGTTGGTTCGATACCTGATCAGGGCACATACCTAGGTTGAAGGTTTGATTCCTAGTCTGGGTGTATAGAGAAGGCAACTGATGTCTGTCTGTCTGTCTCTCTCTCTCTCTCCCCTCCACCCCCCCACTCCTTTCTCTCTCTCTCTAAAATCAATACCGGCATATTCTTGGGTGAAGATAAAAAATAATAATAGAGTGGTTTCTGTTTTCTACACTAAACCCTGAATGATAAACACTTCTTCACTATCCCAAATCAGGCTTTTGTTTTAAATATA